CTGCATGGGAGACCAGGAGGAAGCACCTCGCTCCTGGCTTCGGATTGGCACAGCATGCCGGCTGTACCGGCCATTTTGGGGGTGAACCAATGGAAGGAAGACCTTTCTCTCTGTCTTTCTCTCTCACAGTCTAACTCTGCCTATCAAAAAAAAAAAAAAAGAAAAGAAAAGAAAAAAATAATTAATGTCATCTTTTCCACTCTTCAAGTTGCTGTCTCATAGGTGGTGCCACAATTCTCTTTAGGCAGCTGTTATACCATTCTGTGTGCCAGAAGCATCTGGGTTATGCACCATATGATAAGTAAATCTTAGAATATTCTGTAAGTACTGTGCCATAGAATATCATCCTGATCATAAGTGATACACTATGGTGATATAGAATATATTCTGTAAGTACAGGAATGTGTTGAAGGGATAAGTAGCATGAACAAGCAAACAATTTCATATCTGGTGTATATGAGGACAAATCATTGCTCCTTTGATGGGTGTGTTGTTCAGTGCAATACACCTATTTTCTATTGGTTGACTAATCCAATCAATATAGCATAGTGCTAAAATGAGGGCTCATCATTAGCCTCTACTGATGGAGAGTAGGGTGTACAGTAAGTCAAATAAGCTTTCATCAGTTGAAGATATTGAGTTCATGCAAATCCTCATATCTGTGCAGCTATGGCTTACTTGTACAATGGACTTCTGAGAAATCTCTGAAGTGGCTGGAAAAGACAAGTGTAGCTGACATCCAGTGAACAAATTCTGTCAGCCTGATTTTCAAGCATCTTCTCTATAGTTGAAATGTTTTTGGAATTTGAGGGTTTTTTTTCCAGTCTGTCTTCATTCACAGAACTCCATTTTCATGTTTACCTTAGGTTTCCTTCTCATCAACAAGTCTTGTTTTCAATTTTATGATTCATTTCAAAATTCTGATTCAACCCATTATTAGGAACCCATGAATCAGTCATACTTTAGGCCATCTCTTTTTTTGAGCACCATGAATTACAAGAAGTACTATAGGAATATGCCTACTTTGTTTTTGAATTAGGTTTAGATGCCCACTTCTACTGCTGCTAACATAACTTGCTTAATCAACCAAACCAGGCTCAATTTTACCCTACTCTTCAAACAATTAAAGTTTATTCACTGTCATTATGAGTAACTGAGTTGGACAACTAAGGAAACATTAATACCATGGGAATCTAAGACACCTGCTTGCATAGATTTTTGGTTCTTTCCAGACCTGTTTCTGTGAATCTGTAAATTTATGATGTTTGGATTAGAAAATAGACTTTATAGTGAGTCACCCATTGTTTTGTATTGAATGTGGAAATTATTTTGAGTAACATGGACATCTTAATAATATTAATTCTTCTAATCCATGATCATAGGAGTTCATTTAATTTTTTATCTTCATTTTGTGTGTTCTTTAATTTTCATGGTAAACACCTTTTACATTCTTGGATAGAGTTATTCTAAGGTATTTTTTAGCAACTCTGAATCAGATTGCTTTACTATTTCTCAGTGACTACATTTTGGTGTGTAGCAGTGTTATTTATTGCGTGTTGATTTTTATATTCTGTGACTTTACTGAGTTCACTTGTAAGTACCGATAGTCTCTTGGTGTATTCTTTAAGTTTCTCTCTTTATATATAGAATTATATCTTCTATAATACAGGGATAATTTCACTCTGTTCTTTCTAATCTATATACATTTCACTTGATTCACTTATCAAGGGGCACTAGCTAAAACTTTCCAAAATATATTGACTAAGAGCGGTGAGAGTGTGTCATGAACATAGTAAGTGCATTAATAAGGCTTTTATTATGCAGTAAGGAAGTCACATATTTTGATTTGCATAGTACAACACACTGGGTAAACCAACCACCCAGAGTTCCCAGAGTACCTCTGGTGCTCCTCACAATATTTCTTAGTCATTGAAGGCAGATTTGCACAGAGCACACAGGGATGGGGCCTCTGACCTGGGAAGGGCAGGTCTCCAAGGGCAAATAGGCTCTCAGCCTGTGGAAAATGGAGTCTGTTTCAAACAGACAGAGTCTGGACTCCCTATGTGAGCAGAGCCTCAGGGCCCAGCTAGTTCAGGGCTGGCTGGGAGAACTCTCTTACAGCAGAGAGTTCTCAGGTAGTGGGTCATGCCAGAGCTTCTACTCTGCCACTCTCAGAGAGTCACCAGGCCTCTTCAATCTATGGTCTGTATACACTCTTGGCAGTTAGGGTAGAGCCGATGAAGTCCCAAGGAGGGGCAGTGCAGGCCATGCATCATTCTTGTGAAGTCCATGCAGAGCTCTTGCGATCAGTGTAGCTCTTGCTTATTTCTTGTTAATTTTATGGTAAGGCTATTTAATCTCTGCTCCTAACAGAGTAGAATATTGGTCTGGTGCCAGATCTTCCAGGAAATGTTTTCATTTTTCTGCATTCCTTAAAATGTTGATTTTTTCCCCATGTGTAGACTTTATTATATTGAGCTGTATACCTCTTATATATAGTTTTCTTTTTTAATCATAAATGAATCTTAAATGTTATTGAATGTTTTCCTCCATCTATTGAAAAGATCATATGATTTTATCCTTTCTGTTGATGGGAGATAGTAAGCATATTGATTTGCATATGTTGAGCCAACCTTGCATCCCCGTGATCATGATATATGATCTTTTTGATATGTGGTTAGATTCAATTTTCTAGTATTTTATTTTATTGAGAGTTTTTCTACTTAATTCACCATGGATACTGATCTATAGTAGGTTTTCTTGTCATGTCTTTGATTTGATATCAGAGTAATGTTGGCCTCAAAGAATCAATTTGGAGGAATTTTCTCTTTTCAATTTTTAATGGCATAGTTTGAGAATAATTGATGCTAGTTATTTCTTAAAAACGAAGTAGAATTCAGTCATTAATCTATCTAATCCTAACCTCTTTGTGAGAGATTTCTTAGCACAATTTCAGTCTGCTTACTTGTTATTCATCTATTCAGGTTTCTTAAATGTCCTCTTGATTCAATTTTGATAATTTGGTTTTATGCATTTTTTCTAGTTTTGTGTCATAGAGTTACTTATAATATCCAACAAAGCTCCTTCATATTTCTATAGTATCAGTTGTAAAAAAAATCCTTTTTTAAATCTCTGCTTTTACTCATTTGAAGCCTCTCTTTTTTTCTTATTTTGGTAAAGCTTTATCTTATGGAACATTCTCTGGGACAGAGCACACATTAAGCCACAAAACAAGTCTTTACATGTTAAGAAATGGAAATTATATCATGTATTAATCTTGACCTCAATGGAATTAAGCTGCAAGTGAACAACAGAAGAAGAGTTGGTATTGTGACACAAGGGGTTATACTGCTACTTGGTAGTGCCAGAATACTGTATGATCACTGGTTCCAAATCCAGCTGCTCTAGTCTGATCTAGCCCGCAGCCAATTTGGCTGAGAAGGCAGCAGAAGACACCCAAGCACTTGGACCTCTGCCACCCACGTGACCAGAATAGAGTTACTAACTTCTGGCTTCAGCATGGCTGAACTTTAGCTCTTGTTGCCATTTGTAGGATTTATCAGTGGATGGAAGATCCCTCTCTCCCGCTGTCTCTCCCTCTATCTGTAACTCTGCTTTCAAATAAATGGATAAATAAATCTTTTAAAACTAACAGAAAACAGTGAAAGAAAATTTGGAAGTTATATAAATACATGAAAATTGTACAATATCATCATGAATAGAAAAGGGATCTTTTGAAGAAACTAAAAGGAAAGATCTAAAAATCCTTGAAGCTAATGAAAATGCAAACACAAAATACCAAACCTTACCGAGTACAGTAAAAGCAGCACTAAGTATGTAGTAAATAAATAACCTAACAATGCATCTGAACGAGTAGAGAAACAAAAACAAATCAAACTCAAAGTTAATAAAAGGAAAGAAATAATAAATATAGAGTAGAAACAGACAAAATAGAATCTAATGCAATAAAACAAAGAATCCATGAAGTAAAGAATTGGATCTTTGAACAGAAAAACAAAATTAGTTACTTTTAACACAGAAATTCTTACATTACTCAGAGCTTCCTCCCCTGCCAAGGACAATTACACATAGGTTTGTTCATGTTCCTTCAATTGTTCCCATCCCAAGTTTTAGATTCTGTTGCTTTTCCTACTAAATTTTTTTGATCAGGCAAGGTCTTCAGCTAAGTCAATCCACAACAACAGAAGATGAGTTACTTCAGTGCTGCTGTAGAGACATTCTGATTACCTGTTTGCATTTTCACTTGCTCACTAACAGCTTTCTCACCCTGTTTTTCGTTGTGTATGTGTGTTTGTGTATATGTGTGTGTTAGGGCTGTCATAAGAAGACAATTGACTCTCAAATCTTTGTTACTGATTACTTGTAACATGGCAAATATGTTCCTGAGAATTTGGCCTCCACCTTAATCTGTGTTGGCTGATTTTCTCCTTGAAAAGGAAGTTACTTGTGCACCCATGAGAAATGTAATCCGTGAAGGATGCCTATGGTCTGTTCTCCCTGGCTTCTCCTAATACAAGGCATTGCAAAAATGAGGGTCCCAGTAGGAAGCAACAATGCACTTAAACTTGATTATTCTATTATGTAGCTGCTTAATCAGCTGGGAGGAGAGTACATGAATTATTCTAAATGAATTTCAGAGTTATTGTAATAAATTTGGTAAATTGAAAACTATAGTCCATATAACCAAAAGGCTATTGAAATTTTTCTTAATCAAATAATGCTCTTTTGTAGTTATGGCAGCTTCCTTAAATTTGCTAGATGTTCTTTTTTGAAATTATGACAAAACATGGTTTAATCTCAATATGCTTATATCTTAGTGAAATTTTGTAAGGGGAGCATCAGCATCTTAAGCATCCAAGGAGCATTTATCTCCATCTTAAATGTTTGTTAAAAAGCAAAAATGTTCAGAATTAGAAAAAATATTTTTACTACAACTTAATGAATTGCCTTCATCCGAATCTTCTTTGCTGTTGTTATAGTATCCCAAGGAGATGACTTTGGAGGCGTTTTCAGTTGTTGTCTCCCAGATGCTGGCACTCAGTCTGGGGATATCATATGATGATCCAAAGAAATGTCACTGCTCAGAAGCCATCTGTATAATGAATCCAAGAGCTACGTAAGTTTTTTAGTACATACTTTTAGTAAGTTTTTAAAGTATTTATTTATTTGTCATGTTTATTTTGTTTTAGATATTTGCAGTGAAAAAAACTCAGTATTCACTTGTAGCATAAGCTAACTGTAAATGGAACAATTAATGAGAAAACCTAGACACGTAAGTTACAATGTTAAGTGTATGGAGCAAAGTGTACCACTAAAGACACTCAAGGAGATCAAATCAAATGTTCAGTATATGTTTCATGGGCATTTTCCTTACGATGTATAGTTGGTGAAAGCACTAAATAAAGATATTTAAAAATATGTCAGGAGGGCATAACAAGTTATCTTTTGTAAAGATTTATTTATTTATTTGAAAGTCAGAGTTACACAGAGAGGGAAGGAGAGACAGAGAGAGAGAGTTCTTCCATCCACTAGTTCGCTCCCCAGATGGCTGCAATGGCTAGAACTGTGCTGATTCAAAGCCAGGAGCCAGGAGCCTCTTCCTGGTCTCCCATGTGGGTGCAGGGGCCTAATAACTTGGGCCATCCTCTACTGCTTTCCCAGGCCATAGCAGAGAGCTGGATTGGAAGTGGAGCAGCTGGGACTTGAACCGGCACCCATATGGGATGCTGGCACTGCAGGTGGCAGCTTTACTGGCTATACCACAGTGCCAGCACCACAAGTTATCTTTAATTCAGACAATTTTTTTCTGTTGCTTTAGAGTAGTTTAATGTTGTGGAAAAACCTGAAAACCCTCAAAGAAGAGAAACTCTAGTTGCAGACCAGTGTCAGATATATAGTATTTGTGTTGCTTTGGACAAATTACTTACTTTGCTTAGATTACTTATTTTTCATTGGAAATAATAGTTTCTATACTCTTCTGAAGGTTATGTAAGAATAAAAAGAAAAAATAAGAAACTGTATAGTTCTATATGTGTGTGATTTGTAAACTTACCAATGTCCTCACTCAATGTAAGTTATCACACAAGAGCTACCACAGGTTCCGTTAGTATTCTTTGTTTTTTTCTCTTATTAAATATGTCCTTTGATAGTTATTACCTATTCATTACTGAAGAACTGTTAAAAGCTGAAAGTGAGAATAATGCATTAATTCTTAAAGCAGGATCTTTTCATAGTAACATGTAAACACCACTGAATGTGTTCACGCTCATGTTCTAAAAATAAAACAAATTCAAACATACGTATGAATATGTACACATATAATTACATCAAAATTTGCATTAATAAGAATGATCAGACACACATACCCATAGATGGTTATATAATGAATATATACTTTCCATATAGATACATAAATGGAAAAGTACACACTCATATACACACTTGTACACACAAACACAAGTGTATGTAAAAATTTTGTGGAACATGAAATTACAAGGTAAATTTACTTTTTGTGCAAAATTTAAATTCATGCATATGAGAATTCTTCAGAAAGTTCATGAGAAGTGTACATAAAGAAAAAGACATGCATATATTTCAAACAAAATAAACTTTTTGGTAAACCCATTTTAATGAACTTTTTGAAAAAACCCTCAAATAGTTATGAAAATTATGACTCTTTATAATAATCTCAAAAATATAAAAAATTACTATTGTGATTGGGATTGCACTGAGTCTATAAGTTGCTTTTGATTGGGTAGTATGGGCTAAATTTAATGATGTTAATTCTTCCAATCCATGAACACGGAAGATTTTTTCAATTTTGTGTCTTCTTTTTTTTTCTTCTTTTTTTTAAACTTTTATTTAATGAATATAAATTTCCAAAGTACAGCTTATGGATTACAATGGCTTCCCCCCCATAACGTCCCTCCAACCCGCAACCCTCCCCTTTCCCACTCCCTCTCCCCTTCCATTCACATCAAGATTCATTTTCGATTCTCTTTATATACAGATCAGTTTAGCATATATTAAGTAAAGATTTCAACAGTTTGCTCCCACATAGAAACATAAAGTGAAAAATAGTGTTTGAGTACTAGTTATAGCATTAAATCTCAATGTACAGCACACTAAGGACAAAGAACCTACATGAGGAGTAAGTGCACAGTGACTCCTGTTGTTGACTTAACAAATTGACACTCTAGTTTATGGCATCAGTAATCACCCTAGGCTCTTGGTCATGAGCTGCCAAGGCCATGGAAGCCCCCTGAGTTCACTGACTCTGATCATATTTAGACAAGGCCATGGTCAAAGTGGAAGTTCTCTCCTCCCTTCAGAGAAAGGTACCTCCTTCTTTGATGACCCATTCTTTCCACTGGGATCTCACTCGTGGAGATCTTTCATTTAGTTTTTTTGTTTTGTTTTGTTTTCCCCAGAGTGTCTTGGCTTTCCATGCCTGAAATACTCTCATGGGCTTTTTAGCCGGATCCGCATGCCTTAAGGGCTGATTATGAGGCCAGAGTGCTGTTAGGACATTTGCCATTCTATGGGTCTGCTGTGTATCTCACTTCCCATGTTGGATCATTCTCTCCCTTTTTTATTCTATCAGCTAGTATTTGCAGACACTATTCTTGTTTATGTGATCCCTTTGGTTCTTAGTCCTATCATTATGATCAATTGTGAACAGAAATTGATCACTGGGACTAGTGAGATGGCATTGGTACATGCCACCTCGATGGGATTGAATTGGAATCCCTGGTATGTTTCTAACTCTACCGTTTGAGGTAAGTCAGCTTGAGCATGTCCCGAATTGCACATCTCTTCCCTCTCTTATTCCCACTCTTATATTTAACAGCGATCACTTTTCAGTTAAGTTTCAGCACTTAAGAAGAATTGTGTATTGATTACAGTATTCAACCAAAAGTATTAAGTAGAACAAACAAAAAAAATACTAAGAGGGATTACATTATTAAGCTGTTCATCAACAGTCAGGGTGAGGGCTGATCAAGTCACCGTTTCTCATAGTGTTCACATCACTTTAACAGGTTTCCTTTTTGGTGCTCAGTTAGTTGTCACCTATCAAGGAGAACAAGTGGTATTTGTCCCTTTGGGATTGGCTTATTTCACTCAGCATAATGTTTTCCCAATTCCTAACAGGGATCACTTTTCAGTTAAAATTTAAACACCTAAGAATAGTTGTGTGTTAATTACAGAGTTCAACCAATGGTACTAGAACAAAAAAACTAAAATGGATGAAGGATTACATTGTACATCAACTGTCAGGACAAGATATGATCAAGTTACTGTTTCTCATAGTGTCCATTTTACTTCAACAAGTTTCCCCTTTGGTGCTCAGTTAGTTGTCGCCAATCAGGAAGAACATATATTTGTCCCTTTGGGACTGGCTTAATTCACTCAGCATGATGTTTTCCAAATTCCTCCATCTTGTTGCAAATGACTGGGTTTCGTTGTTTTTGACTGCTGTATAGTATTCTATAGAGTACATGTCCCAAAATTTCTTTATCCAGTCTACTGTTGATGGGCATTTGGGTTGGTTCCAGGTCTTACTATTGTGACTTAAATCTATGACCTGACACCATCAAATTATTAGAGAGCATTGGAAAAACCCTGCAAGATATAGGTACCAGCAATGACTTCTTGGAAAACACCCCAGAAGCACAGGCAGTCAAAGCCAAAATTAACATTTGGGATTGCATCAAATTGAGAAGTTTCTGTACTGCAAAAGAAACAGTCAGGAAAGTGAAGAGACAACTAACAGAATGGGAAAAAATATTTGCAAACTATGCGACTGATAAAGGGTTGATAACCAGAATCTACAAAGAGATCAAGAAACTCCACAAAAACAAAACAAACAACCCACTTAAGAGATGGGCCAAGGACCTCAATAGACATTTTAAAAAGAGGAAATCCAAATGGCCAACCGACACATGAAAAAATGTTCAAGATCACTAGCAATCAGGGAAATGCAAATCAAAACCACAATGAGGTTTCACCTCACCCCAGTTAGAATGGCTCACATTCAGAAATCTACCAACAATAGATGCTGGAGAGGATGTGGGGAAAAAGGGACACTAACCCACTGTTGGTGGGAACGCAAACTGGTTAAGCCACTATGGAAGTCAGTCTGGAGATTCCTCAGAAACCTGAAGATAACCCTACCATTCAACCCAGCCATCCCACTCCTTGGAATTTACCCAAAGGAAATTAAATTGGCAAACAAAAAAGCAGTCTGCACATTAATGTTTATTGCAGCTCAATTCACAATAGCTAAGACCATTTTTCTCTACTTCTATCTCTTTCTTTAATGTTTTCTAGTTTTCACAGTAGAGATTTTTTCTTGGATACATTTTTCCCAGGATAGTTACATATTTTGTAGCTATTGTGAATAAGAAAAATCTTGAAACTTTTCTTCCGAGACATGCTATTGTTTATGTATTTGAATGCTGTAGATTTTTGAGTGTTGATATTGCATCTTGCCACTTTGCCAAACTCTCTCATGAGTTCCAATAACGTCTTAGTAGAATTTTCGGGTTCCCCTGGATGTTAGATCATCTCACCTGCAAATAGGGATAATTTGACTTCCTCCTTTGCCATATGTATCCTTTGATTACTTTTTCTTGTCTAATGGCCCTGACTAAAACTTGCAGAACTATATTGCATAGTAATCAGTTTACAGATTCAATATGATCCCAATTGAAATTCCAAAGATGTTGTTCTCAGTTCTGGAAAAAAAGACCATGGAATTCATATAAAATCATAAGAGATTAGGATTGGTAAAGCAATTCCAAACAATAAAACTAAAGCTGGGTGCATCACAATCCCCAGTTATTAAGCTACAAGGCAGCCGGCTCCACGGCTCACTGGGTTGGTCCTCCGCCTGCGGCGCCGGTGCTCCGGGTTCTCCCTGCACCCACATGGAAGACCAGGAGGAAGCGCCTGGTTCCTGGCTTCGGATCGGTGCAGTTCCAGTCACTGTGGCCATTTGGGGAGTGAACCTGTGGATGGATGATTTCTCTCTCTCTCTCTGCCTCTGCCCCTGCCTCTCTAACTCCGCTTTTCAAATAAATAAATAAATAAAAATTAAAAAAAAAACCTGACTCAGCCAGTGAAAATGTTCTCTGAAGTTATCTAAAATAGTTTACAGGTACGATTATATAAAATATACAGATTTTCTGAGATCTTTGAGTAAGTTCAAGGATAAGCACAGAATGATTTGTTTAAAAAAATTATCATCAGTTGAGTGTTAATTATTCAGAGCTATGTCTATTGAGGTCCTTTGCCTATTTTTAAATTAGTTTATTTGGGTTTGTCCTATTGAGTTGTATTTAATTTTTTTTGGAGAAGGCAAGATATACATTCCAGTGATTGAAATCATATGATCTCCTCAGGACTGAATTTGGTGCCTAAGCACCTAGTATTAACATTTCTTATTGCTTATTAAATTTTAACATTTTGAAATTAATGTATGTAATCTGGAATTATCTTTTCAGAAGTATAATGACAGTGTCATTTTATGGATTAATCTTTAGGACATCCAGTGGTGCAAAGACTTTTAGCAGTTGCAGTTTGAGTGACTTTGAAAGTTTCATTTCAAATCAGGATGCCAGCTGTCTTCAGAATAAACCACAAATGCAAAGACAGAAGAGAGCAGTGTGTGGAAATCGCATAGTAGAGACCGGTGAAGACTGTGATTGTGGTACACAGGAAGTAAGTCTTATAATTACTAAATTAATAAAACTCATTAATATATTATTTTAGTTCATCTCTTTCATAAATGTTTTGCATACATTTAAAAAATACTACCCCTAAAACTGTATATGTGAAATATAGGACATTTGTTCAGCTTAAAATTGTTTTAAATTTTTAATTTGAAAGAGTTTACAAATAAATTGTATCTATTATTATCTTTTTTTTTTTTTTGACAGGCAGAGTGGACAGTGAGAGAGAGAGAGAGAGAGAGAGAGAAAGGTCTTCCTTTGCCGTTGGTTCACCCTCCAATGGCCGCCGCGGCCGGCGCGCTGTGGCCGGCGCACCGCGCTGATCCGATGGCAGGAGCCAGGAGCCAGGTGCTTTTTCCTGGTCTCCCATGGGGTGCAGGGCCCAAGCACCTGGGCCATCCTCCACTGCACTCCCTGGCCACAGCAGAGAGCTGGCCTGGAAGAGGGGCAACCAGGACAGAATCCGGCGCCCCGACCGGGACTAGAACCCGGTGTGCCGGCGCCGCTAGGCGGAGGATTAGCCTAGTGAGCCGCGGCGCCGGCTATTATTATCTTTAAATATTAAACATATTACCAAAATTATTGATGATGGGACAATAAGGGTATCTGGAAACAGCTTTTGCATCCCAGATTAAATGTGTAAGGATAAGATCTTTCCAATCTCTGCTTAATGTTTGGACTTTATATGTGTTTATTAAAATTGGTGTTTTAGCAGCCTTTCACATGCCTTTTAGGGCATTATTTCCTAGTGGATTCAGTAGTACGATAAGGGTGTCTGTATTAGTATTGTAATATAAACATACAGTGATTTTATCATTAGCTTGCTGGGGAAGCCCTGATAATACAACAAAATGCAAAGTGTCCAGGGTGCAATTCTTACAGGTATTTAAGTATTTACAGCCATACTGTCAGTGTGCCTGATTTACTTGATTAAAATGGATAGAAATCACATTAAGTTTTATCACCTGTATAGAGCTACATGAATGATTCACATCACATTGTTTTAATTATGTTTAACCACTTGGTAGAACATGTCCTCCCTATTTTTTAAAGCAATTTGAAATGTAACTTTATTTTTAAGCTTTTGATTTCTCAATAGTTTTAAATTAATGAAACAAAATTTGGGAAGGAGTCTTACCTGCTCCACACCCAAATTCCCCTTAACATATAAGCGTGATGTATTTGTCACAGTTAATGAGCTACACCATGATTCCCCTATTTTTAAAAACTCCAAACTCCCTCTTTGCTTCCTACCCTTCTCTGCCTCAATTCATTATCATTCTGTGTTTAGATTGATTTTTTTCTGTTCAGCCCTCATGTATGAAAGAGAACATATGGTATTTGCTTTTCTGCATCTGACTTATTTCACTTAAAATGATGTCCTCCCATCCATTTTGCTGCAAAACACAGGATGTTATTAGTTTTAATGTCTGACCAGTATTTCATTGTATAAATGTGTATGTGTGATATTGCATTTCTTTATCCACTCATCTGAGGATTGACACATTGGTTTATTCATATCTTAGCTAATGTAAGCAGTGCTATCAAACACAGTGCAGCAGATGGTATCTTTAATACAATGATTTTATGTATTTTGGATATATACCTAGTAGTTGGGTTGCTAGTCACATAGCAGTTCCATTTCCAGTTTTTAAAGAAATAGCTGCACTGTTTTCCACAATGTCCATGTTATGGTCAGTGGGACCCCTGGCTGTGGAACTTCCAGGCTCTTCTCTCTGTGCATGAATGAATTCAAGGTTGAGGCATAAAAGTATACAGTAAAGCAGGATTTATTCAAAGGTAAAGAGGTAGTGCATGCTCAAGTAATAAGAGAAAAGAAGGTTAACAGACAGAGAAAATGAACAAAAAGACAACAAAAAATGGACTCATCAATAAGGTTCAGATCATATTTTATATTATTGGCAGATGGTAGGGGTGGTGTCTGGGGTGAAACTTAGTTGAATATTTAAATGTGGGTGGAATTTTGGGGAGGACTTGAAGACCACCAGTTTCCATACCCTTTTATAGAAACACTAGAAATGTCATGGCATCAGGTGTTTAATGGGACTCGGAGATTTCCTCAAGGTAATTTTCTTATAATAATTAATTATTAGGACCTAAAGGTCATCATATGGACACATCCTGCAGTTGTATTTGATATTTTCAGCTGACACTGCTTCTCGTTTGCAACACTGTAGAATGTGAAATTTCTACTGCATAGAAAAGGTGTGTGTATGTGGGGGGGTTGGTGGAACACAGAGGTGGGTTTGGGCTGTACACATAAAGAAGTTTGGTACCTACCAGAACAAGGAATTGGGTGATATGGATAGGGCTATCTGGTAGGCTGGGTAGGGTTGTTGCATGTGGGTCAGCTGTGGCTGCTGCATGGGCTTTCTAGTGCTGTCCTGTGGTAGGTCAGCTATGCTTGTTATATGGCAGATCGTAGTCCTTTTGCTAAAGCTACCTATCTGCCCATATCATTTTTCCCATCAGGAGTTGTAATCCTTTATTATTAGTAGGAATTTCAGGGACGAAGGTTTGTCTTCTGTAACATCTTAATGCAGTATCAGGGCATTCTTCCAGGGACAGAATATCCCTGGCTGACTGATCTAAAAATGTTTGAGAAGGTAGAAGTCTGCAGTCAGTTGTTGGCAATGCCTGGAATCCCTGTGTGACCATTGTTTTGGCATGTAATTGTTGAATTATGGAAGAGACAAACTTGACAATGAAGAAGAAGATGGCAGTTGGGTAAAAAAACAAAGAATGTAGCAATCATGTCAGAGAAGGGGATATGCATAAAGCTGATTCCCATATGTTGTGAGTTGGTGGACTTCTTTTGCCAAAATCATAGAACCTACTGGCTTGTTTAGAAGTCCTTTTGATATCTCTTTCCATGAGCCCACTGTTATTAATGTAAATGTAGCAGGTTTGGTTATTCACTGGACCTATCCTGCCTTGTCCTACCAGTAGGTATTCTAGGGGTAGTTGTTTGTCCGTAACACTTCAGTTAGGGAATTCTAAAAATAATATAGTTCCTCTTGGGCCCTACCAGTGGTTTCTGCTGAGTTTTCCAAGGGAACAGACAGATTCCTTAAAGCAACTTCATGAGATATATACCAAGATTCCCATGTTTTAGGGTAGAAAAATCTTACCAGCGACTTTTTTCTGTCAATAGCAGTTTCCCTGGATGAATAAGAAAAGTAGGAACAGCGTGTCAGCTGAGAGTTGCCATGATGGGAGTCTTAATATGTGTCTCTTTAAGAAATGCACAATAAGAGAAATTTTACTTACATTTTTAATTTTTGAAGATAAACTTAAGGTTCTCAGTTGCTTCAAAAGAATAGGAAGAAATACACTATAGATATGCCTGTTAAGATTCAAGTGGTCGAGTTAGGGGTTTTATTTTCTAAATTTTAAGTGCAATAGGAGTGGTAAGCAGAAGGTAGGGTCCCTTCCAATTAGGCTATCATTGATAAGAAGGTCCCCTCTTATTAAGATTTTATTAGGACTGGATCTTCTGGGAGAGTGATTGCTCATGAATTTTGGAATCTGGCATGATAGGAATCCTTTTTGCCATATTGTGTCATAGCCTTCTATACCTGCACTTGGCCAAAGTTGATAACATACTTTGTATGATCTTGAGTATCTGAATAAAAAAAGGATGTCATTGTTGAGGAAGGGCCTCTGATTTAACATTGCAAAAGGTCTAAGGTAGCCTTGGTGCCATCCTCGTCCTAAGGAAGGCAATAGGCAATAACTAGTGTAAGATTATCGCTGGCCATTTTAACATTGCCTAAATATTGGAGTCCACAGAGGCAAGGTGGTGGGAATTGATTCCTGAATCTTCTGTGTTACTTTAGAGACAAAGGAGAGGCTGTTATCAGTTTGGAACAAGACCAAATATAGGGTTATTTCCTTTAGTAGGATTTTGAACACTGTGTGCTGTTCCTATTTAGGTTGGAAAAGCCTCTTTCCATCAGATGCAAGTATCAATGAAGACTAGTCAATGTCTGTGACAAGTTTCTAGTTTCATGCTAGTAAAGTCTATCTGCCAGTCTTAACCAGGGTAGGTTCCTCTCCTCTGCACAGACATGAGTAGGAGAGGTGGTTTGGTGTGGCCAGCAGGGTTATTTTGTAGACAGAGGTCTAGGATGAAGTAACCCTCCCCCCCTTATAACAGTACATAGTCTTTTCCCTCCAAAGCCATAAGAGACTATATGCATTAGGGGCATTTTCCTGATACTTAGTCATGCATTTCTTTGAAATTTCCCATTAAGAGGCTATTGGTAGCATGACCTTATGATTTAAAGTTCACCACCTATTGCTAAATCTTTAGTTTAACCTCAGTGCTGGGCCCCTTCTATTTCTGTCATGGTACAGTAGGGATTTCAAGCTGCCTCTAAAGGTAGAGGTTTTACAGTCATTTCTATGGCTTTCTGAGTGGCAGCCTCCATTACTATCTAATCTTCCAGTTTATTTCCTTTTATGATATGGCTGATCCATTTCGGTGTCCTTTGCAATGGAAAACAGCCACTTTCAGAGCTTCCACAACTACCTAACGGTAACTATAATCTCTTGCCGTGTTAATGGGAGAATTTCTTTCTTTTTTTGCATTCAGTATACCCCTTATTGTTCAAATTGCTATGTATTTGAAACAGAGCAGGCGCCATTTTGGACATATGTAAAGCAGCACCCACCATAAGCCAAGCAGAAAAACCTGATTCTGGGGGGTGAAATAACAGGAGGTTAGTACCTAGTGAATGTGTGGAGCTAATGAACTGAGACTGTGAAAAAAGAGACGGTGGGTAAGAGAACTCACGGAGTTCACTTGAGTACTCTCCTGAGACACTACAATTTGGTAACCTTGGCAACCCAGTGGGAAACTGCAGGGGAATTTGAGCCCACACTGTGGGCAGAACAGATTCCTTGTGTGGTCCTTGGGAAAGAGTAGACAAATGTTACAGCCATGGAGCCAGAGATCGGAAATGG